ACAGAGCAGGGGACATAAAGTTCTCCCCCAAGGAGTTCAGTCACAAATGTAATTAACGCATTATTTTTTAATGCGAATCAGCATGGAAGCATGTCCTCTGGAATGGTGGCCAAAGCATAAAGGGGCATACGAATGTTTAGCATATCTGGCAAGTAAATATCTTGCAATGCCGGTTACAAAAGTGCCACATGAACACCTGTTCTCACTTTCAGGTGACATTGTGAATAAGAAGCGGGTAGCAGTATCTCCCATAAATATAAATAAACTTGTTTGTCTTCGCAATTGGCTGAATAAGTAGTAGGAGTTGTAGGCTCTAACGTTTTTTAAATTGTTTTGTTTTTGAGTGCGGTTATGTAACACAAAAATCTACATTTGTAAGTTACACTTTCACCATAAAGAGATTGTACCACAGTACTTGTATGAGATGAATTGAAAAATACTATTTCTTTTATCATTTTAAAAGTGCAAATATTTGTAATAAAAAATATGAAATGAGCGCTGTACTCTTTGTATTCTGTGTTGTAATAGAAATCAATATATTTGAAAATGTTCAGTGTTTTTCTACATTATTTAATACATTTCAATTGGTATTCTATTGTTTAACGGTGCGATTAATCGTGATTAATTTTTCTGAGTTAATCACGTGAGTTAACTGCGATTAATCGACAGCCCTAATAAAATGAAGGGTGTTCTTTACTAAATCTTTGCTGAAAGTATCTGCTTCTTTAATTTGTTATTTTTCAAAATAATGAACTGCTCAATTATTTAAAAATCCACCATTGCCAAATATTACCAGTCTTTTGAAATGGCAAGACTCAAAAATCTTTGGGTCCTATAATGAGCAGGTTTCAGTATTCAATGGGTAACAAAAATTAGGATAGATGTTTGACTTTTAACTGAGATTCTAAATTAGCTTCTTAATCTTTTGTACTAGGAAAATAGAAAGCGACATGGCTCCAGTCGCAGTGTGGTGGACATGGAATTAGATGATACAGATGATGGTGATGATAATGCACCACTATTCTACCAACCTGGGAAACGAGGTTTTTATACGCCAAGGCCTGGCAAAAACACAGAGGCAAGATTGAATTGTTTCAGAAACATTGGCAGGTACAATATTAAGCTAGTTTGCTAGTCTTGTGTTTTCTTGGCATTTCAGATATTTTGATAGCTTATATTTCTCCAAAGATAAAAGCTGTAATAGAGTTCATTCATCTTGGGTTTGAAATCATGTGGGGGAACTTGAACAACTTAGTCTATTAAATCTTTAGAGAAATCTTAAGTTTTTGTTAAAATTTGCACTCGTACCCCTCAATGTACGTGTGTGTGAGAGAGAGAGAAAATGTTAGTAGCATCAGATTTATTGCATCATTGGCATTTTAGGTCCCATGACTCCCTCGTCTCTGAGGAGGTAAACTCTCTGTCAAAGGGAACTATTTTACTGATTTTTGTAAGCTAAAACTTGTATCTTTGCGCTTTTGCTTTCCCTGCCCCCTTTTTATTTTGCAAGTATGTCAGAGAAGCAGGACCTTAAAGTGCCCCAGTACCATCCACATTATGTCTAAGTTGCACATGCACAGCCAGCAGAACAGACAATAACTGTCTTGGCTTTGATATCTGTGTCCAGATGCCACCATGTGCTCTTAAGTTCAAAAGTGGGTTTCCCTGAAATTATTCCTGGTCCCTTCTCTCCCCCTACCCTTCTCCTCGGCCACAGTTTTCATAGTCTAGTGCAAGGTCTGACTGGAATGTCTCAAAGGCAAACAGTCCTCAAATAAACAGTTGAGCATCCTTGCTGGACATCACGACTATCAATATTTCCCACATCAGTAAAGCTCTTACAAAATAGGCTCTCGAGCTGTTTCCACAAACACAAACAACCTGCTAGCTTCTGGTATAGATGGACTCCAGGACCCTGCTCATGTTGTTGGGCGTTGACTTGAAAAACAAAGCCTTCTCTTCCCAAGAAAACAAGGTGTATATCAAGTAGAACTCGCTCCAAAGACATTTCACTTCCCTAGATTTCTCAAGGCATGTTCTCAAGTGTTCTTATATATGCCTTCATCACCTTCTGTCTATATGATAGCAGTGCAGTGTACTTGGGTGTGAAGACATCAGTCCTTAGAGAAACTCCAACTAGTACAGAGCCCTGCACTGCATTCCTCAGCAACGCTGGCTACTTTGAGCCCATCAGACCTGGCCTCTGCTCTTACATGTTGGCTTTTCAGAGACTATTGAGTAAAGTTCAAGGTCTCAGTCCTTACCTTCAAGGAGCTTAGTGGCATTTAAAGAGACTGCTTAAAGCTCCAGGATGAGGACCATGGTCAACAACTCGACTTCTGTGGCACAGTGGAACTTTCTACCACAGGGATAAAGCTTGTCTGTGCAGGAGACAAAGCTTTCTCAGTGACTAATCTGTCTGTGGAATAAACTGTCACAAATTAAGGGCTGTCACAAACCTCCCCACGTTCCACTCCAAATGCAAGGTGCTCTTCTTTCACCTTGTCTTCTCTGACATAAATGCATAGTAGTGTGTATGTTAAACAAAACAATACACTGCATAACAACTCCCCTTGGGGAGTGGATGAGAGAAGGAGACTAAATCACATGACAGAATTTAGTCGTGTTGCCTGACGCACTGCTTGAAGATTCTCAATATTATGTCGATGAGGGCAGAATAAGAACCTTTTGTAGGATAGGATGAAGTTCTCCAGTTACACCATTTCCTACAGTAAAGGTAACCTTTCAGTTCTGAATATATTGTGGAGCCTGGTGTTGTTTTCCTACCACGTTACTTCATCTCCACTGAAAATGTATGGGACAGAAGGTTGCTTCTGACATCTGTCATTAGACCACACTGTTTCTTTGTGAGATCATGTGCTTCAGAACAAGGCTTGTGACCAGCGTTTGCTCTCTTGAATAAATCAATTAATTTTTTTGCACCTCATTGGCACTAATGGACTCAGTGCACCTGTCTGTGAAGTAGGTGATCATGAGAAAAACATGCAGGATTGCTCTGCTGAGGCGCTTTTTAGAGTGAATTTGTGGAAGTCTGTAGGCTTATGCCTGGAGAAGAATGATACCCTTAAAAATCCAGTCACTTTTTGATTGTTTTCACTCCAGTACAGCAGATTCTCCTGATTTCAGAAGAACCATGTCTAAGTGTTTTGTCTGCCTGCGTTTTTTATTGTAACAACTAGCTGAACCCATAGCTTCAAAACTCATTCAGTCATTTGATATTTACTTACACAACCAGACTCATAATTTTCCAAACAGATTTATAGGGCAGGTGTGTAGAGTTCTCTTCACACCTTTACGAAGTGTAATTGCTCAGCCAGAAGGCAGCCATCAAAATTCATTTTACCAGCCTTTTTGCAGAAATAGTTTTTGCCTAAGTTGTCCTATCTGTGGGTTTTTTTAATTTTTGCGAACCCTCTTATTTTATCCCTATTTTTGCTGAGTCCTACATAAAATAGGTTTATTGTTTTCTTACCTCTAACAGTATTTTTATATTCTTGCATTCTTACTTTTTTAATATTTTCTTTCATAGTAATATCTGTGGAGATTTTTAGTCTCCAGGAGTTGGAGTTTTGTTGCAGCAGGTATTTTTGAGGAAGTGATCCTTCTTTACCCATGATTGTTCTTTCAGGAAAAATAGCAGATTATTTATTTTTTAACCAAGCTTTCCAGAAAAACTTTCCCCATGGGACGAGGTACTGCATGCACTGTTTCTGAAATGGTGATTTCTTTGGGGGGATGTTGGCATTGGGAAGTTTTAAATATGAGGTTTTATAATTGGAAGCTACTTCAACCTGAACTCCAGAGTTGTTTTTTGTTGTTGTTGAAATATTCAGGAAACTCTTTTGAATCCCACTTCTTTAAACAATTTCTTTTTGTGATTTTCTAATAGTAGTACTCTTTTTGTTCTCAGAATTCTAGGGTTGTGCTTACTGCAGAATGAACTATGTCCCATCACGTTAAACAGACATGTTATCAAAGTTCTTCTTGGCAGAAAAGTAAGTTGATCACAGACATCTGAACTGCCTTTAAGTACATAAGATTAGTTTTAAAAAATAATTTTATTTTAAAATATGTTTTGATGTTAACACTGTGCTTGTTTGGCAATACTAAATCTAATTAAAACAGTTGTGATTTTTTTTGTTGTCTTACAATTAAACTGAGTTTGCCAAGTGGATGCCAAGGAATTGACTGAGGAGGGTTTCCAATTAATATAATATGAGTGCGCACGCTCTCTATCTGTCTATATTAAATATTTAAAATGGGACAGGGTTGATCTTCACGAGCAGAAAAAAGGACGTTGAAGCTGTGC